CCCACCCCAAGTCTCTGTCTTGCCCACTATGCGGAGCTGCAAGGCTGCACTACTGTATGGCTGGGGATGCATTACCAGTCTTTACCCCTTCTCCCAGGTTTGCAGTTGTAGGCTTCCTCAGACATGTGGAAATCTGACCACCTCTGCAGGTAGTGGCAGTATTATGCACGGATTGTAGTAACGTCAGTCGTGTGTATGAAAGTGCATCTTGCTTAGAGATATCGTTCAGCAGCTGATATCGCTGGGCCCATTTTGTATGCTCTAATGGCTGTCTTTGCATTCAGGTCAACAACTGATAGGTATTTACGTCAATACAGTTCAGTAAAATATGGGGATATTTAGTATATGTGCAATAAACATGATGAAATGTGCACATGAGATGTTTAACTACCTTATTGCAAAAAGTTGATCCACTTCTTCCATGGTATCAATATTATTCACAAAAATTGCATGTGACAGTAGCCTGAAGGCATAGTACTAATAAAATGTTGTTCAGTGCAAGCAGCTTTTTCTGACAGTATTTTGCTGCTAATATTTGACTTTGCAGTATGTGTATTACCTTGTGTCATTTTAATTTTATGTAAATGTCCTGAATAGTTCACAGAATTTGCATGTTTTAAAACTTTTATCTGTTCCCTTATCTTGCCTGATTTTGAAAAAGTCAATATCCATGTTAACCTGCTCACCCATAGAATCCACTTGCACCTTGCCCCTAGCCTTTCATGACATTGTTTCCACTAATGTCTTCAGGGAATGCCTTGGGACAGGTGAGGGGCATCAGGCTGAAGGTTTGCAGCTAATGCCCTTGCACTGGCCCTGGCTATTCCACTGCAGAGTCTGCCATGTGACTTTATTGTTGAGAACCCTATTAAAGGAATGATGCAGAGCTGCAAGGTTTAGAGGGTGGAGTTTTTAAAATTCCATTGTGTTTCTTGTGGGGTTTAAAGCGTTCAGATTTGCACTAATAATGAATCAGAATTTTGGGTGTGCCAGACATTCAAACAAATTCATATTTAGAAATGTCCTGTCTCTAGGAGACTTCACTATATGTCTACAGAGTCAGTATGGGTTGAGGTCAGGAACAAGAAAGGAGCAGTCACTTTGGGGGTTTTTTTACAGATCCCCTAATAGTTGCAGAGAAGTGGAGGAGTGGATTGGGAGGCAGATACTGGAAAGGTGCAGAAGTCACAGGGTTGTAGTCATGGGTGACTTCAACTTTCCAAATATTGATTGGAAACTTTTTAGTTGTAATAGTTTAGATGGAGCGGATTTTGTCCAGTGTGTTCAGGAAGGATTCCTGATACAGTACGTGGAGAGGCCACTTTGTATTTGGTGCTTGGCAATGAACCGGGCCAAGTGTTAGACCTGTTGGTAGGAGAGCGTTTTGGCAGGTGCAATCGTAACTTTGTTACTTTTACAATAGTCATAGAAAAGGATAGTTTCATACAGCAGGGTAAGGTTTATAATTGGGGGAAGGGTAATTACGATTCTGTTAGGCAAGAACTGAGTAACATAAAATGGGAACGGATGCTGTCAGGGAAGAGCACTATTGAAATTTGGAGATTGTTTAAGGAACACATACTGCGTGTGCTCAATATGTTTGTCCCTAGCAGGCAGGGAAGATGCAGTCGAGTGAAGGAGCCTTGGTTCTCAAGAGAGGTCGAACGACTGGTTAAGAGGAAGAAGGATGCTTAAGTAAGGTTTAGGAAACAAGGAACAGAAAAGGCTCTAGAGGGATACAGGTTATCCAGGAAGGAGCTGAAGGAAGGGCTTAGGAGAGCTATAAAGGGGCATGAGAAAACCTTGGCAGATAGGATCAAGGAAAACTCCAAGGCTTTTTACACGTACATGAAGAATAAGAGAATGACCAGAGAAAGGGTAGGGCCGATCAAGGATTGTAAAGGGAATTTGTGCACGGAGCCTGAAGAGATAGGAGAAGTCCTTAATGAATACTTTTCTTCGGTATTCACAACTGAGGGGGACCTAGTTGTAGAGGAGGACAGTATGAAACATGCTGGTAGGCTAGAGGAGGTTGATGTTAGTAAGGAAAGTGTGCTAGGAATTTTGAGGAACTTGAAGATAGATAAGTCCCCTGGGCCTGACGGGATTTATTCAAGGATTCTACGGGAAGTGAGGGAAGAGATCGCAGGGCCTTTGGCGACGATCTTTTCGTCCTCACTGTCCACGGGTATAGTGCCGGAAGATTGGAGAGAGGCAAACGTCATTCCCTTGTTCAAAAAAGGGAATAGGGATAACCCCGGAAATTACAGGCCAGTTAGTCTTACGTCAGTGGTGGGCAAATTATTGGAAAGGGCTCTGAGAGATAGGATTTATGATCACTTGGAAAGGTACAGTTTGATGCGTGATAGTCAGCATAGATTTGTGAGGGCTAGGTCATGCCTCACAAACCTTATTGAATTCTTTGAAGAAGTGACCAAGCACATGGATGAAGGTGGAGCAATGGATGTGGTATACATGGATTTAGGTAAGGCGTTTGATAAGGTTCCCCATGGTAGGCTCATGCAGAAGGTAAAGAGGCATTGGATAGGGGGAAATGTGGCAGATTGGATTCAAAATTGGCTGACCCTTAGAAGACAAAGGGTGGTAGTGGATGGAAAATATTCAACATGGTGCTCTGTTACGAGCGGTGTACCACAAGGATCTGTTCTGCGTCCTCTTCTATTTGTGATTTTTGTAAATGATTTGGATATAGGAGTGGAAGCGTGGATTAGTAAGTTTGCGGACAATGCGAAGGTGGGTTGAGTTGTGGACAGTGCGGAGGGCTGTTCCAGTTACAAAGGGACATTGAAAGGATGCAGAGCTGGGCTGAGAAGTGGCAGATGGAGTTTAACCCTGAAAAGTGTGACGTGATTCATTTTGGAAGGACAAACTTGAAAGCAGAATACAGGGTTAACGGAAAGATTCTTGGCAGTGTGGAGGAGCAGAGGGATCTTGGGGTTCATGTCCACAGTTCCCTGAAAGCTGCCACCCAGGTGGATAGAGTTGTTAAGAAGGCGTATGGTGTGTTAGCTTTTATTAATAGAGGGACTAAGTTGGAGAGCCGTGAAGTTATGCCCCAGCTATAAAGCGTGGTTCGGCCTCATCTGGAGTATTGTGTCCAGTTCTGGTCGCCTCATTACAGGAAAGCTGTGGAAGCTTTGGAAAAGGTGCAGAGGAGATTTACCAGGATGTTGCCTGGAATGGAGGGAAGGTCTTACAAGGAAAGGTTGAGAGAGCTAGGGCTTTTCTCTTTAGAACGACGAAGGGATAGACGTGTACAAAATGATCAGAGGTATAGATAGAGTGGACAGCCAGAGACTTTTTCCTAGGGTGGAGGTAGCTATTACGAGGGGGCATAGTTTTAAAGTGAGTGGAAGTAGATATAGGGGAGACGTAAGAGGTAGGTTCTTTACTCAGAGTGGTAGGGGCGTGGAATGTATTGCTGGAGAGGGTAGTGGAGTCGGCTTCATTAGGGGCATTTAAGCGGTTATTCGATAGGCACATGGATGATGGTATAAGGTAGGGGTTGAGGTTAGATAGACCTTAGGATTAGGGTAAAAGTTCGGCGCAACATCGTGGGCCAAAGGGCCTGTACTGTGCTGTACTGTTCTACGTTCTAAGATCAGCAGTTGCTTTAAGAGTCCCTTCGAATTGCTTCAACAGCTCAGTCTTGACATAGTCAGCCCCATATGTAATAGACGCAGCAAGTTAGTGATTCGATCCCAGAGAGAAACTGAATAAGCCACAATTGTGCAGTTACCAGAGGGCATTCTTGAATGACTGGAATATATTGGGAAGTCTATATTCTGCAGAAATGCTGTACGTGGAGAGGTGAAGGCATATAAGTAATGTGTAGGTTTAACCAGTTGTTTTTTTAGAAAGGCCAGCAGTAGAATTTCTTTTTTGGATTAAATCCTCAACTACTTAGAGTCATGCAGCATGCAAACAGAGCCTTCAGACCAATCAGTCCATGCCTAACATAATCCCAAACTTAAACTTGTCCCACCTGCCTGCTGCTGGCCCATAACCCTCCAAACTTTTCCTATTCTTGTACATACTGGGTTGCAATGTTGGATTTTTTTTCTAAATTGTTGACTCTCCACTTCGGAGCTACTTAATGCAGATTTTGCTTGTAGTGAACATTTGCTGTGACAGGAAACATTTTCTGTGGGAATAGGGAATTGAACTGTGCTTCATATGGGTCATCTCCTTTGTTCTCCGCAGGGGACACTCTAATTGATGGTGGACAGCATTACTGGGAGGTCACGTTTGAAAGGGACAGCAAGGCTTTCATTGTAGGTGTGGCCTACAGGACTATGGGCAAATTTGATCAACTGGGAAAGACCAGTGCCTCCTGGTGTCTACACCTCAATAACTGGCTGCAAGTCAGCTTTACCGCCAAACACAACAACAAAGCCAAAGTCTTGGACACCTCAGTACCTGAGAGAATTGGAGTTTATTGTAACTACGATGAAGGTATTGGGATTCCTTATCTCTTCCATCCCTTGTTTTGGGCCAAGATAGTTAAATTTGTACCATGTATCCACGGTTTCAGTTTTGAATGCTGAATTTGTCCAGTGTTCACTAAAGTATCAGGTAGGGGCAACAGTGATAACTGAGCACATTGATGCTGCCAGTAATTTAACTAAGATTTTTTTAATGCTCCTGTCAGTTCTACTGAGCTATTGCTGTAAATGAATGACAGGCAGCAAACAAGGGTGAGTTTATGCATTCCCTGTCAACTAGCTTTGGCCATCACTGACAGTGATCAAGAAACTCTCCCTCACGATAGTTGTGACCGATATATTTGGGCATGGGGTGGGGGGGGGGGAGGAGGTGGATCAAAATCTAAAGGAAAATGTTTATTTTTGTAAAAAGTAAATCATTAAACTTTTTAAACCCCTGACTGCTAAGTGCATGTGCCCCATGGTTCAATTTTTAACTTCCTTCACTGCTTTTCAACACCAGTGCGTGAGCTCAAACATAAATGTTTTTATTTACTTCAAAATCCAATTGATGAAATTCCTTGCTGCATCAGATTTTTGCTGTTTGTTTTTGTGAAATTCAAAGTTTTAGTTTGCTTTCCTTACCCAAATTTTAACTATCTTCCGCTTCTATATTTAAAAATTTAAAATATGCCTGCACCTCCGACATCTCATCACCTAATCATGTAGCCATAAAAGAAAATAGTTGAGTTTGTAAAGCGTATTTTTTTAATTGTGTCTTTGAACATCCTAAATAATTAGATAGAAATACGTAGCATTCAAAATTGACCATTCAATGTATCTCATCTGTGGCAGTGTTTATGTTTTGCCGTAACCCCCTTTCCAGCCCTCTTCCTCTCACCTGATCAACGTATTATCTTCTATTCCTTTCTCCCTTGGATGTGTTTATGTTATTAATCTCCACTAATCTATGTACTGCATGCAATTGCACAGTTACTGTCAATTATTGTGGAACGTGATTTTTTTTTTTTCCCCTACTACGGTTCTACAGACGAGTGAGACGAACAACAAATTGATCTAATTTCATTTTTAGGGACTGGTAGTTCATGGAGAACTAACTCCCTGTTCTTCAGATTATACTGTTGGACCTTTTCATGTCCACCCTTACCAAGGGAAAGCCCTAGGTTTAACATCCCATATAAAATTTTTATAAATGATTCTTTGATGGACACTGGGCGTCACAAGCATCAGTTGCCCATCATCCATTTCCTTTGAACTGAGTGACTTGCTATGACCATTTCAGAGGAGATTTAAAGATCAACCACATTGCTGAGGGTATGGAGGCCCCTGTAGGCCAAACCAGGTAAGGATGGCAAATTTCCTTCCCTGAAGGACATTAGCGAAACAGACAAATTTTTGAGAATAATGGTTTATTGGTCATTGTTACAGAGACCATATCTTAATTACAGATTTTTTTTTTTTTAACGCCCATTCCACCAACTGTCCAGTAGGACTTGAATCCTGAATCCTGAATGTTGAATGTTTGTCAGTACAACCTCCTATTGGAATTTGAATCCTACAAACAACAGCATGGATGCTTAGATAACTAAATATCACTACATCTTCCCCTAATACATATAAAAGTACGAATTGGGTGCAGGAATAGGATATTCAGCCCCCTGAAATTTCTTTACCATTCAACAATATAAAACCTGGTCTGATTGTGGCCAGTAACAATGCACATTCCTGTAGTACTGAAGTGGTGAAATCATAGAATGGAGTTTGCAGTCCTAATCATTTGGCACAGATGAGAGTGCGAGCAACTGAGTTAAGTTAATCCAAATCTTTAGAATAGATCTGTGCTTGAACACCGTTGCAAAGGTGGTTATTTTTATCAAGTGAGTTTCCTGTAATTGATTCAAGTCACAATGCAGTTTTTAGTCAACTTCAGGCATTCAAGGTTCAGGAGGCAATTTGGAGGTAGCCTGTAGATCTGAATACACTGAAAAATATTACATTGTGTTAAGGAGAGTTAAGGTTTGATTCACAAATAAGACATAAAGTATTTTAAGGCTAATCTGTCTCTGGATTAGATTCTAGCCTAATAAGTACGTTAGTATGCATTATTATACACGTCATTTCCTCTGTTACACAATGCTGCCAAATGAAAAACCTTCCCTGAAGCTAAAAGCATGCATAACTTGGACCCATTAATTGTGGTCAAGTTGAAGAACTTGTATCCTTTCCCTCAATTAAAATGAAACAAAGCTGCTGTTTAATTGCTGTATAGCAATTCACTTGTCCTGCAGTAACTTGCACAAAACACTGAGGAAGAATTAAAGCAGGCTACATTTGTCTCCTTTCTTCTGGTTGCCACTGTCTGACTCTCCCTACTGGCCCCTGGTGATCAGGTCCAGTATATCTGGAGATAATATCCTGCATCACTGTGGAGTGATACCTTTAGAGCTTGCTGTGCTATTTCTTTCTTCATTCAAGCGGCACGTTGGCCCAGCCAGAATATATTGCCCATCCCTAATTGCCCTTGAGAAGATGATGGTGAGCTATCTTCTTGAACTGTTGCAATCTATATGGTGTAAGTACCACCCACAATGCTGTTAGAGAGGGAGTTCCAGAATTTTGGCCCAGTGACAGTGAAGGAACAGCAATATAGTTCCAAGTCATGAGCAGCGCTTGCAAATTGTAGGATTTGAGATGTTGTTGTCAACAGTTTTGGAAATTAGCTAGTTTCAAACAAAAGGAGACAATCCTCTCCAATCTGAATATCATGGCTACGAGAGTAGGACAGAGGCTGAAAATTCTGTGGTAACTTGCCTCCTGATTCTCAAGTTTTCCCCTATTTATAAGGCTTAGATCAGAAGTTTGATGGAATATTGTCCAATTGCCTGGATGAATTCAGCCTCAACAGCATTGAAGAAGCAATTGTAATTCACCTACCAGTGCAACAGGTCCACAGCAGTTGCAATCATCCCTGGAACATCTGGATAATAACGATACCTACGTCAGGCTTCTATTTATTGACTATGACTCCACTTTCAACCCGACAATCTCAACCAAACTAATCTGCAAACTCCGCCACCTAGGTCTCTGCTCCACTCGCTGCAACTGGAACTGCAATCAGTTAGGATAGGCAACAGCACCTCGTCCACGACAATCTTCAATACCAGAGCCCCGCAAGGATGCGTACTCAGGCCCTTACTATATTCCCCATACACTCATGAACGTGTGGCCAAATTTCATCCAAAGTCCACCTATAAGTTCACCGTTGTAGGCCAGATATCAAACAGTGATGAGACAGGATAAGAGAGAGAGAGAGAGTGCTTGGTGGTGGGTAAAGACAACAATCTCTGCCTCAACATCAGCAAAACTAAAGAGCTAGTCATTGACTTCAGGAAGCAAGGAGGAGGACACGCCCCTATCCATATCAATGGAGTTGAGATGGAGTGTCATGTTCCTAGGAGCTACGATCACCCATGATCTGTCCTGGACCACCCATGTTGATGCAACGGTCAAGGTGGCACAACAATGCCTCTTCTTCCTCAGGAGGCTAAGGAAACCCAGCATGTCCACAAGGACTCTCAACAACTTTTACCAGTGCACCATAGAAAGCATTCTATCTGGATGTGTCACATTTTTGTATGGCAACTGCTCTGCCCTGGACCGTGAGAAACTACAGAAAGTTGTGAACACAGCCTAGTCCATCTTGCAAGCCAACCTTCCATCAACTGACTCCATCTACATTTCTCAATGCCATGAAAAGGCAGCCAACATCATCAAAGACCTCTCCCACTCCAGTTATAATCTCTTCCAACTTCTTCCATCAGCCTGAAGATACAAAAGCTTATACGCACGTACCAACAGGTTCAAGAACAGCTTCTTCCCCGTTGCTATTAGGCTTCTGAATGGACCCCTCAAATTTCAAATCTAATGTTGATCTTGCTTTTTGTGCACCTTCTTCTTTGCAGCCGTAGCACTATATTCCTTGTTCTGTTCAATCACCCTATGTTCGTTGTATGTTGTGATCTGCCTGTACTGATCACAAAACAAAACTTCACTGTACCTAGGTACATGTGACAATAATACATTAAATCAATACCATTATAGAACAAAGCTGCCCACTTGATTGACACCCCATTCACTCCTTCCACCACTGCCAATACACAGTGGCAGCACTGTGTATTAACTATAAGATGCACAGCAGCAACTTGAGCAAAGCTCCTGCAACAGCACCTTGCAAAAGCGCAGACTCGAGCATCTAGAAAGACCAGGGTATCAGTTACATAAGAACACCACTGACAAGTCCTCTCCCAAGTTACACACCGTCCTGACTTGGAACTATGTCATTGTTCCTCAGAGACGCTGGCTGAAAATCCTGGCATTGTCTAATGGCAGTGTAAGGGACCCTACACCCTGTGGACCACAGCAGATTAAGATGACAGCTTACTGACACATCCTCCAGAGGTAATTATGGATGGTCAGTAAATGTTAGCCTAGCTAGTGGCACCCACCTCTCGTGAAAGAATAAATGAGATAAAACAAATTATTGTTCCCAGTGTTCCTACAAATTGAGGCCTTGTTTTGTTGATGTTCATGAGCCTTTCCTGACTCGTGTATTAATTTTGACTTAAATGTCAACTTAGTTTGGCCAGCATGAAGTTGGGAATGAATTTGACTTTGTTTTCCAGCTAATGACAGATGAGTATTAGGAACAGTTTTCTTAGGGCTAATCAAGGTGAAAGCTTAGTGCTGAGAACTTCAACCATTTCCACTTCAGTAACCTGTGTCAGCAGTGATCAGCTCAGATATTCGTGCAGCTAGGTAATGCTAAGGACACCATTCTGCTGTTACAACTTGAGCTGTATTTTACCACTTCCAGCAACCACAAGGTAGCCAGTCGGAGCTGAATTGGCTGATTGGCCCATTCTCAGCAGGAACTGACTTTGGATTGGCCCAAACAGGAGCCAGGAAAGTGACATCCCAACAATCTGTTTGATTTGAATCTAGTCAATGTCCTTGGCCTCCTTTTGAAAGGTAAATGCAAAATATCCTTAGGCCCCATTAAAGGAATTGGAATTCTGTGGCAGAGCCAATATTTTTCCATTGGCCAACCCCCATATCAAAAATGATCTCAGCCCAATTATGGTACCTTGATGTATGGAAATTGCCTACACAATAACTAGTAATGATAAACAATTACTTACATCAGAAGCACCAAGATGTGCTTCAACACGACAAATGAAAACTTTTTCTTTGATATCTTTGCCATGTGAATTGCTTTGTATAATTTAGATTAGGATAGTGTTATTTATTTCTTCTTCGCTGAGAGTTGAGATGTGTCAACATCTGACCTCCATATGGAAGAGCTTAAGGAATAGTATGATTTTTAAGATTATAGCTTTCACTGGAAGACTAATGATGCTATGGTCACCAGTAACTGAAACCTAAACAAAGTGCTGGAGAAGCTCCTCAGTTCTGGCAGCATCTGTGAAGAGGGAAACCACAGATTCTCTCCAGCACAGAGATAGTAGAAACTGCCAATGCTGGAGAATCTGAGATAACAAGGTGTAGAGCTGGATGAACACAGCAGGCCAAGCAGCATCAGAGGAGCAGGAAAGCTGATGTTTCAGGTCTGGACCCTTCTTCAGAAATGG